TTTCACGGATATTCGTATGAGCCAGGAAATGGAATTCACAGTATAGATACAATGTACTGCAAAGGCCCCATGCAGAGTCAGGGAGGAGGCTGGTGTCCTGGGATGGTGCGGCCAGAACACCCCACACTGTGCCCTCCTGTGGCACTTTGGAAGCTGGATGTGGGGACTCATGAATGGAAGAGCCTAGAAGCCAACTCTCAGGGTCTTTCTCTGCCCATGGACCCTTAGTAGAGGAGATGCTTCTTCTTCTTGTTTCTGTCTTTGGTGTTGGGAGGTTTAAATCAGTGGTTCCATCACTTAACAGCTGGTGACCTTGGATCAGCCACCTAACCTCTCTAAACTGATCCCGCCCTGCACAAATAGGGGTTGGGTGAGGATTCTGTGATGATACACGTGCAAGCTGCTTTATAAAATGTAAAGTGCTATTGAAATAGTGATATTTTATTTTATTTATTTTTTATGTAGTGGTATTATTTTAAACACACCTTCACCATTATTTAATACATTCAAATATTGTTGTAGAAAAGCCCAGCTCCCAGTATGGGCTGTTCTCCCTCAGGGGGTCTCAGTGCAGCAAACTATGACTGCGCTTTGTGCACGTGACAATCTGAGGGGAATAGGCCCCTCCGAGGACACCTTCCATGACTTCTTTCAATTTCTCATGCCAGCCTGGCTGCTGCTCTGGCTTGCTAGGGGCCAGAATTCCAGAGTTCCAAAATTCTGGAAAGCTCACAGCACATGGTGCTCCCAGAAGGCACTGCAGCCAGGGATGCTGGGATGTTCAGCTGCCCCGTAGGGAAACCAGCAACCTCGGGCCCTCTTGGGCCCATGCCTCTATCTGGTATGAATAGAGAGTAGAGGTGGGGTGAGGCCAAGAGGTCAGTTGCACCCACCCTTCCTGGTGTTGTCATGCGTGCCTGCCCCTCCACCTGCCTCTCCAGCACAAGGAGGCAATGACCCACTAGGCACCCAGCAAGGCCCCAGTTCCAGTGTCCCTTTCCACCTGACTACACGGCTGAGG